AGAACTCTGTATTACAATGCACCACAAGAGCTGAAGAAATATGCTCACCAAGCAAATTGAGACCGACGATCAATAAAGTGCTTGCTCGAACAAATCCCTCCCTAATGGGGAGGACAAAATTGCATAAGTGCCTAAGAAGCCAGCTAAAAGAAATTCTTGTGCTATGTCAGTGCGAGCTGGGGAAACATGCTAAGTGTCCGGCGGTGGCTCTGCTAACTCCTCTGTCAAGTCATCTCCACAAACCATGCCAATCCTAAAGGGATCGACGGACTGATCTTGATCCGCTCTCTTCACGAAGTTGTAAATCTATACCTCCAACTACATGATAACATGAGAACATGTAGATAATTTATCACCGTATAGGTCTGTCGATAATGGATGAGAACCTCAGGAAGCACTGCTGGCATGACCAACTCACCTTGTTCCTATCGGCAGAATGTTGTCCACAAAAGTTCTTTTCATCCGTAGGGATACACTATTCATAAGAATGGTCATATTCGGGCAATCCAAACACCATCTGTAGCTCTCTCAGCGTGATAGTCAGCTACTTTCAACCCATCCAATGCATTAGTGTTCAGATCCAAGAGCTTGTTCACACCACTCACCCATGACGAATTGATTTGTTCAAAGCTAAACATTGAAGCGTGTATAACCTTGTACACTCTTGCTTTCTTTAGGTTATCTTTATGCATGCATAGGATGTACCTGATATACCACAAGGAAGACAAGTCACCTTCCAAAAAGAGTCCCAAGGCCGCTCTGGTGAGTCGAGTTGTAACTGACAGTGACCCAACAATTTTGACTGTCGAACTTCCTCCACCACCTCAGCAGCAGACTCCAAAATGTCACAAGGCTCATAATTAATGTTATCTGCTGTGCTCTCCAGCAGGTTGAACTCCCTGCATTTCAGTTTAATGGACGTCACCCACTCTGTCGGTTCTCAAAATTTGACGAGTTTGAGTTGACATTTTGAAAACATGAATGAGCACGTGAATAAGTGATCATAAATACTGCGATCTTTCATATGTATTTGTGTTTCTTAAGTCTGTCATCCATCTCGAGATCCTTCTCAAGGTCATGTTTGTCTACGAAATTTCAAATGGTCTCCATACTGGACTTGTCATAAGGCATGTCCACGTGTCTTCTCTAGTTGAACTTCTGCTGCAGAAGCATCCGAGAGAAACACGTCTTCAGAACAAGGTAGCAGATAAATTTTGAGGCGGGAATATATACGAAGTAGCTGGATCAGGAAATAAAACCGAGAGGGATGAAGGGTAATAAACTCAAAAACAGAAAAAGTTTTGCATCTATAAAAGATTTGCTTGGCTACGATCAATCGGTTCACAACAGATAATTACATGCACAACACTTGAAACATTGTTATTTACAAATCTAGTACCCAGATGATTATTTTGATAAAAAATTGAAAAATATGGGTTGAGGTTTTTCGTTGAATTTTGATAGGATCTTGGAATATAGGTACTCACGTGATAAATTAATGGAATTAGGTGATATTATGATTCATAGCAACATAAATATCTTATGTATTCAAGAGACTAAATGAGTTGGAGAAAAGACTAAGGAGGTTGATAACTTATGTTTTAAATTTTTGTATCCAGGTAGGAGTCGCACTGAAAATGATGTGGATGTAATTATAGTTAAGGGTTTGAAAGATAATGTTGTAAAATCTAATAGAATTGAATATAAACTTATAGCCCTAAAGGTTGTTGATACTAAAATTTTTAATGTTATAAGTGCTTTTGTTCCTCAAGGAGGTTTAGATATAGGTTCAAAAGAAAAATTCTTGAATGAACTAGAAAGAATTTTTATTATAGGAGATTTGATGGATATGTTGGTAGAGTGATAGAAGATTTTAAAAATATTCATGATGACTACAATTTTGGAGTGATTAATGAAGAAAGTAGAATTGAAGAAGGTAGGGCTATATTAGATTTTGTTTTAACATATGATTTTGTTATTACTAATGTTTTATTTGAAAAAATAGATGAGTGTTTTATTACTTTAAGTATGGATTTAATAAAACACAAATTGATTATTTTCTTATGAGAAAAAGATATCATCGAAAATGTAAAGATTGTAAGACCAACATTAATTATTAGTTTTAGATTTTAAGATGAAAAGGTGGAAGATAAATAACACAAAAAAATATTGTCATAAAATTAGATGGAGAAATCTAAAAGCCAAATAAAATTTTTCCATGACTAAACTTCAAGATTTCATGATTTGGGATGCTCATGAAGAAGTGAATTCTATGTGGGATTAAGTAATAAGTTTCATTAAACAAGTGACAAAAGTTGTACTTAGAGAATCGAAAGTAAAAGTTTTAATAAATAAAAATAGTTGATGGTGGAATAATAATGTGCAAGATAAGTAAAATATTCTAAGTTATTGTAAAATTTGGTTTAAATATAAAAATTTAGAAAAATATAAGATGACCTGTAGAAAGTCTAAGAGAACAATTTGTGATGTTAAATTTCTTTTTTTAGTGATTTTTATGATATATTAGATACTGAAGAGGGTGAATATATATATAAACTAGCCAAACAAAGAGAAAAAAAAAGATTTAATTCAAGTAAAGTGTATTAAAAGAAAAATAAAAAAGTGTGTTTCTTAAAGGAAGATATTCAACATAGGTGGGTGAGCTATTTTGATAAGCTTTTCAATGAAACTTCATAAAATACGATCGACTTTAGTGATCTTAGTATCTCTAATAATAATAAAACATTTTATTTTTACAGTTACATTAGTTAAAATGAAGTCGAGGAAGCTTTAAAGAAAATCAAAGGTGGAAAATCATTATCTCTTGATGATATCCCAATTAAGTGTGGATATCTGTAGGAGATTTGGAAGTTTCTTGTCTTATTAAATTCTTTAAAATTATTTTAAAAACTAAAAAGATGCCTGAATAGTGAAGGAAGAGTATTTTTGTCCCCATTTTTATGAATCAAGGGTTTTTACAAGAGTATGCAAATTATAGAAGACTAGAGTATTTTTGTCCCCATTTTTATGAATAAAGGGGTTGTACAAGAGTATGCAAATTATAGAAGACTTAAGTTGATGTATCATACTTTAAAATTATGGTAGAGGGTAATTGAACATAAGTTAAGCCGTGATACAAAGATTTCTCATAATTAGTTTGGATTTATGTCGGGCAGATCCACTATGGAAGCAATATATTTATTTAGAGATTTGATGGAGAAGTACAGAGAGAATAAGGAGGATCTAGATATGATTTGGTTGATTTAGAAAAAAACTTACGATAAGGTTATAAGAGAAGTCCTTTGGAGAGTTCTAGAGAAGACATGTGTTGATATAATTTTTCTTCAACTCATTAAAGATATGTTTACTAGAGCTGTTACTTGTGTTCACACAGAAGGAGGATTGACCAAGTATTTTGCTATTTCAGTTGGATTACATTAGGGATCGAATTTAAGCCCATATCTTTTTGCTTTAGCTATGGATTCTTTTACTGGACATTTACAGGAGGATATGCCTTGGTATATGCTTTTCACTGATGATATTCTTTTTGTGAATAAGACTAGAGAAAGAGTTTAGGAAAAACTTGAATTATGGAGATTTACATTGGAGTCTGAAGGCTTTCGTTTGAGTTCATCTAAAATTGAATACATGGAATGTAATTTTAGTAGTAATAATAGCTATAGTGGCATATTTGTAATTATGGGTGATCAAATTATTAAAATGTGTGAACGTTTTACATATTTCGGGTCTATTGTTCAAAGTGATGGTGATATAGATGGGGATGTTATTAGCATAATTCAGGTTGGTTGGCTGAAATGGAGGAATGTATCGGGCCTATTGTGTGATAGAAAAACACCACTTAAACTAAAAGGAAAATTTTTATAAGATGGTGGTCTGACTTGTAATGCTCTATGATGCAGAGTGTTGACATTTAAAAGAGAAGCATAAAACAAAGTTAAGTGTTGTTGAGATGAGGATGCTTAGGTGGATGAGTGGCTTGACGCTTAAGAGAGAAAATGCGAAATGAATATATCTGTGATAGGGTTGGTGCAGCTCCAGTGGCGGACATGATTAGAGAGAGCCGTTTTAGATAGTTTAGTCACATTAAACGTTGACCATCTAATGATTCAGTTAAGGAGTAGATGTTTTAGGTTTGACTTATGTTAAGAAAGACAGAATTTAAGGAGTAGATGTTTTAGGTTTGACTTATGTTAAGGAAGACAGAATTAGACCTAAAAAGACTTGGGCATATTGTATAAAAAATGATCTTAATCTATTAGAGTTAAATGAAATATGACACTTGTTTTTAGGACACAATGGAGAAAAATGATTCTTGTAGCCGACCCCACTTAATGGGATAAAGGCTTGTTATTGTTGTTGATGTTTCCAGGAATAAAAAAAAAAATTGTTAGCTCTGAAAAGAAATTAAAGTCTTTGAAATGTCTCATAAATATTTTGAAATATGAAAATGATGGTGTCTCAAGCATGGACTATAAGAGTTAAATGAAAAGGTCAATGCTTGTTCTATTCATGTAGATGACATTGAAAAAGCTGGAAATAATTTGTCTTCTTCCCGTGAGATGGCGGTTAATTGAAATCCCGGTAGAACCATGTACTTTCTAAAATAAGGTGCTTATAAGTGAAATTGTAAATCTTAGAATTAAACTTGATGTTTAATTCTCATTTACTAACACATCTTTATCTAGTACTACTTGTAGTAATCTTGATATCATATTTTTTCATGTTTGTATTAGGTCTCTAGAAGTTGAGAATGTCAATCTTAAAGAAAAGTTTGATGATTTGTCAATTATATCTTGTAGCTCTAGTACTTACATGCTTTTTGGACATACATGTAAATATAAGATGCAAACTACTTCATCTAGCTGAGATAATAATATAATTATTAAACTATTTATGAATGTTCTGGCCAATTACTAACGCAAATTTGCAAAAAACTCTATCATCTTTTTTATGTTTATGAAGACCATGATTTAGGTTTTTGCTTTTAGGAAGTCCATGATTAACATTAGTTTCCTCTTTATATATTCATCGTAGGCTTACTATAATTCTACTACATGCTTATTCTCTATGTAATTATGGATGCTTAATTTATTTTGAGAACTTAGCTTAGATTAGTGTTGAAGGGTAAGTGATACACATGGTGTGTTCAAGCTTATGCAATTAAACTGGTGTGATCAAGCTTATACTATAATTATACCAGCTTGTGATTAACATTGATATGTGAACTGCAGTTATTTGTTTTATATAGGAGTCCAATACATTAGTTAAGAAATCGCCAGTATATGCAATGCTTCTGTGCAGCTTTACGGGTTTGTGATAAATTTAAGGTGTTTTTTAAATATGATCATCTAATCTGAATAAGAAGTATTAAGATTTTGATATATAAAGTTCATGGAGATGCTTACTAAGATATTATTTCAGTTAAATTTGATGATGAAAATATCACTCTTTGATAAATGTGATGGAGACTGCTTAGCTAAATTTCAATATGTTAGAATTATTCATGAGAAAGGCATGCTTTTTCTATTTTTAGCTCTGCAGATAATTTTCTCTACGCAGTTGGGCACCCCTCAATCAGTCTTTTCGAGCCAAACAGAAAAATGGGCAATCTACAGATTTTGGGTGTCAGTATCTTTGTAGTAGAAAAAAGTTCTTCTAATGGACAAAAAATCAATTTGCTTGCATAAGAGAGAAAGCGCAGAGAAAAGAGAGGAATGGGACAAGGGAGACAGTCGACCGATTTGCTTTGTTGACAGCCATACCAAAACCAGTAAGCATGTTTATAACAACTAAGTTTAAGAGATGTTACTGTGTTACATTTGAATTTTGTATGCTAATTCAGTGGTCAGCATCAAATTATTTTTAGGTTATGGTGGGGAAGTCGTGCAATATTGCAATATTCCTAAATTTAGATGGTTATGAGATAATGATCCTAAAGAATTATAAGATAATGATTATCTCAATTATTTGGGACAGGTGGAGAAGAATTGTTGGAAATAGCCAGAAGATGGTTCAAGCCTGAATTCAACTATTTGTGGCCGGCTTGGTCAACGATAGTCCACAACTTGGTTGTTAGAAGGATATTTGGTCTCTTCGTTTGAATTGTTTGAGCTTTCATTCAAGGTTGAATGATTATTTTGTCATAAAAAAATTTAGCCTCATTCAGTTTGTTCAAACCTTTTAATTGAAATTTTAATAATTCAAACTTTTTTTATTGTAATTTTATAACATGTGATTGTAATCTCTCATATGTATAAAACTATTACCCACCTGAAAAATCAAAGCAATATATTTATAATTTGTGTGCATTATGACCAAATCATTGGTGATTTGACTTAAAAAATGATAGATTGAAATTTTCTTTTGAATTTTAATATTATTGTTGGGAGAAATTTACTTTGTAAATAACGAAAATTTATATGTTTTCAAGGATTCACCTTCCTTTCCATGTTGGTAGATTTCAAGTGTTAGCGAATTGATTTGAGGAATCTTAATTGCCGAAAGAAAAATGTTGGCGAAATCATTGAAACTTGGGTAAAAATGCAATTTATTGTCAGGCCGCCGGCCATTAGTGAGTTTAATTACAAGCACATCATATATATGCAAATTTTGAACCCAAAATTTTTTTTAAATGAAACCAAAGATCTCCATTAGACAACTTGTATGTTTTTCGGAGGCCAGCTTTTTTCTTTTGGGACGTGCCAGGCGAGGGCTAACGTTAAAGGAAGGGCAGAAGCCACAATCGCCTCACAAGATATCAGCAGGGAGTATATAAAACAGTACACATATCTGTTGTAATTTAGCTTTTATTTTATTTTAGATTCCTTTGGGGGCAGATTATTAAGTAGTTGTTGTAAAGTTGTTGAGAAATAATCTGTTATTAAAAAAAGTTGTGGTGACTATTTCAAATTTTTTTTTGTTCGAAAAAATTAGACCACAGCTAAAAAAGCTTCCACCGCATCTAGTAAGGAGTGAGTTTTAACTGTAGTTTTTTGAAAAAAATTGCCAAAATACAATTTATGAAAACAGCTAAAACAATGTTATCGTGCCTGCCACCACCGCATTGTTGCGCCAAACAGAGCCTTAAATGCAGCTGTGGAGCAAGTTCTGCAGTGCATCGATTAATTTGATTATTAAAGAAAAAACATAAAAAGATTTTGTATTGGTTAAAATATTATGTAGAAAATTTATTTAAAAAATTATTTTTACTTGTAAAGGTCTATTAAAAATGTCGTGAATATTCAACCTACAATGGTCCAATACAGTTTGAAAATTATACTGCTGATTATTATACTGTTTTCAGCGGTACCCTTTGCTGTACATTTTTCAGTAACCGGAGGTGAAGCAGGGGCATTTCGGGAAAGCAAAACGTACACACGCAGCTCGCATGATTCGCATCAAGACCAACCAAGCGGAGCGCGCGCGCGCGCGCGGATGGGGACCATCTTACCTCACCGGGGGCCCAAGGGTGCTCCAGCCACCGCCCGTCACGTTCTGCGGCTCCGCCTGCCCGCAGCACCTGGACCCCGCGACATTGCCCCCAGCCTTAAAACGCCCCCACCCGAAGCGCAGGCTCGTATTCTGCTCCGGCGCGGCAGTTTTCATAAAGAGCCGGCCCATGTTATCAATCCCTTCACATGTGTACGACGATGAATAAAGATGTTAAAAGATAGAAAATGACCCGAGGTTCCATGAATTAATAGACCGTAAACCATCATGGAGAAGACCGGTCAAAGCAGTCTACATTGATTTATGTAAAATACAAGTAGTAGTGGGGAAATTAAGAGGTTGCTCGGTTGCCGTCACATGGCGGTGGGGGAGAAGAGAGAACAACTCGAGCTAAACCCCGAAATGAAAATGTACAATGGAATCATTAGCCGGAACCTCAAGTTCCTTGCTTCTAACTACTTAATTATTAAAACCTAGTTAAGTTATCCAGAAGAGAGCGCTCCGAAGTTCAAGATTGGAGGAGGCTGCGCACGATTTCCGCCTCGGCGCTGTTGGTGTCCATGGTGGCCATCAGCCCGGACAGCCGGTCGCTCAGGTCGTCCACCTCCCGATGCAAGCTTTTGATATAGTTGCAGGTCTCTTTGAGTAGCTTTGCTGCCGAGGCCTGTAATTGTCGCCTACATTTCGTCAGTTACTTTGAAAAAAGGTGGATATCGTTGAAATCAGTACTCGAGAGCGAGAATAATCTAAGAGTTCTTAATTGGCTAAAAATGAACTTCTACTATTAATTTTAGCTTTTAGGTTTGTCATTAGTGTTATATTAAACTCCAAAAGAAATCATCAAGATAAATAAATTAAAAGAAATAAAAATTTGAAGATAAATGATTAAAATAAGAAAAGAATAAGTGAACAACAATTTTGCCTTCTTAAAATGTTTTCTAATATTAAGCACTTGAACTTCCACATTTTGTCTTTTCATCACAAGGCAAAATATATCAGGAACAATTTTTAGTTTTTCTTGGGCTCAACTTAAAACCTGTGGTAACCAGCCTCTAGCAGATAAGACTGGGCCGTAAAGGATGAGTTAAGATGCTTTACCCGGCCTACAGAGCGGCGCCGGGACTCAGGGAGGAGGGATTGGAGCTTCGAGATGAGCTCATTGATCTCATCCTCTGTTATTCTGCTCCTTCTGCTCGACATGTTCTGTTTTTGAGGTCGTCTTCTTCTTACTTTCTAATGCTCTTAAGGCTTAGAGGGCGAGAATGAGAGAGGAATAAAAGGAAAGAAAGAGGGGCCTTTATAAGCTTAAGGCTTAGAGGGCGAGAATGAGAGAGGAATAAATGGAAAGAAAGAGGGGCCTTTATAGAGGGGCTTTTAAAGGCAGGAGGTGAGGAATGGAAGAAGCGACTCGGCGATTGTACGTATATCAAGAAGATCTCAGAGTCCCTACTTGCTACCGCAGGCTTTCATGTTCCCTGTAGCGGGCCCTACTCGGACCATAAAGGGGAACAGTCCATGGGCCGCCGTACATGTTGCAGCAGAGCCCACTTGCCATAGCGCCTCATTTTGATTTTCTGTGCTCCGAGTGTCGCGAAGGGGGGAAGAGATCTCCACAAACCTTTATTTTAATTAGTTTTTTTAATCTTAATTAAACTTAAGATATGGCTTTGGTTCGGTAGTACGATCTAAAAAGATGCTGCTCCCTTTCTGTTTGCATATCGCTCGTCTCACTCCCTGTCCTCGCGGTCGGAAGCTTCCTAATCTCCTCTTAATCGCTTCATTTGTCGTATTATACAGTAATTATATGGTTGCCGTTTGCATTACTTAACCGGAATCCCGCTCCCGCGAAATGTGGAGTCCACGTGGACAGAAAGGGCGTGGCCACGTGACGGCCGTTAGCCCGGAAGCATGAGAGCTCGCAATCGGAAACTGCTGATGATGAACTACCTCCTTTTGCTTGGTCCATTATTTAAAATTTATAATTGTTATTTTAACTTATTATTTCCATTTAGGTTTTGTAAAGAAATGATAAATAAAAATAGAAACAGTGGTGGTAGGGCCTGGAAGAGGAAATTAAGGGCAGCGGTGAAGGGGGATTTTATAAATGTGAGGGCATCCACTTGTAAGTGCCCATATGGGCACATGGGATCGTCTACTGTTTGCTTCGTTGCAAATGGTAAGACATTGCTTCCATGTGACTTTAACTTGCACCGCCCCCTCCCTCCCTCTCTCTCTCTCTCTCTCTCTCTCTCTCTCTCTCTCTCTCAACTGCTTATATTTTTCTCTCTGACAAATGTTTCATAACAATTAATTGGCAGGTCCCATGAGTTCTCACTTCAATGGATTCAGTGCAACTCTTGTGACACTACTTAGGTTCATTGTCTGCCAGCCTTTCTTAACTACTTTGCTACCGTCCATTTCGTACTTTTTTTTTCTTTTTAACTTTTACAGATATCGCCCAACCCAGAGCAACGTAAATGTAAGCGGTGGACACTAGTTAACAAATTTATATTTTTCTTTACATCATGGTCATAGAAATGAATTATTAAAAAAAAAGTAGGGGTTAGAAAAATGCTAAAAACAAAAATACAAAAAATTGGGGTCAAGGGTCCTGGCCCTTTCTTGTTATCATAAGCAGGGGGGTGTAAAAGAACTAAATATGAGCAAGCCCAGACTCAACTCGTATTTCGCTCATTAAAAAATACAATTGTTTGTGTTCGGCTTGTTTATATTTCGAACATAAAAAATGTATCCGAGTTTGACTCGTTTGCTTAGTCAGCCGAACAAGAGCTGTTCGATGAACAAAAAGTGGTTTTGTAGTATGTTAAAGATTGTGATAAAATTTTAATCTTATTATTTAAATTAAAACTTCATTTAAATTTAGTTTAATATATTTTTATTCTATTTTTTAATTTAATTGATTATAAAACTTTGTAGACTTGTAGTCAATTAATTTTTGAAAATTACTACTCATCAATTATATATATATATATATATTGAAAAGACAAAATTCATTGATATAAAAGAGAGGATACAAAGGATTTAGAGAGTGGGTACATAGAGCCCACTCATAGGGATTACAACTACACGTATTCCCAAAAAGTATAACAAAAAGAAAACAACTCATAATCATGGTGGGTGTAGTCAGTGGATATACCACTTCCCCTTCCCCTGGATCTAGGAGAAAGTTCAGCAACATACTGAGATGTGGGCTTTATATATATATATGTATATATATATATATATATATAAAATTGATGAATAGCACTTCTAGCCAAAATGAGCCTAGCAAAAATGAACAAGATTGTTCATGTCGGCTAGTTTATACATCGAGCGTGAGAAAATTATTCGTGTTCAACTCATTTATATATCGAGCACAAACAAACAATATGTGTTTGGCTCGTTAACTTAACAAATAAATCATAAATGAGCTTCTTAACGGGCCAAATAAATTGTTCGCGAACAACGAACCGTTTTGACAACCCTAATCTTAAGAGCTTTAAAATTAAAGTTTTCTGCATTAATGACATTCGTGAAATAATTTCTTAAATTCTAAAATTTTATGACTTTTCATTAATAAGTTTTCATATTTTATATAAATGTTATGTAATTTAAGATTTTATCAGTAAATATTTTCTCCTTTTAATATTCTATAACAAAATCATGGTTTATAGAAAAATATATTTAAAATTTAATATTTTTTTCCCCAAATATTTCAGAGTACAAGGTGAATAAACTGAACACATGATTTAAGTTTTTCAATTGCACATATAACCATTTTGAAAGTGATCTCTTGAGCCGACTTGCTATTTCAAAGTTTTATGTTTCATGGAGCGCCCACATGTCTAACAAGGGCATGCAGATCTGAAAATAATCTCCCAAATAAGTACCTCTTGCGTTTAATGATGTTTAATGATAAGATACCTACAGACAAAATATGCTTAGTGATTAACTAGAGAGTACAAGGTGAATAAACTGAACACATGATTTAAGTTTTTCAATTGCACATATAACCATTTTGAAAGTGATCTCTTGAGCCGACTTGCTATTTCAAAGTTTTATGTTTCATGGAGCGCCCACATGTCTAAGGCATGCAGATCTGAAAATAATCTCCCAAATAAGTAACTCTTGCGTTTAATGATGTTTAATGATAAGGTACCTACAGACAAAATATGCTTAGTGATTAACTAGCGGAAATCAAACGAGCGCCAAAAACTATTGATTTTTAAATCAAAGAGATGATTGTGTTCACGAGCGATCATATAGGGGTTGCATTCTTGTCATTTTAAGACTAAAGAGCGCTTATCTACATGCAATGAGATATTGATGTCCCAAATATGAAGAGGACTTAACAATGGACATTTAAATATACATCCAAGAAAAACTCTGTGCATAAAGTAGTGGATACCCAAAAGATACATACTAAATCACGAGTAAAATGTTGAGAGGAATTAAATGAATGCTAATAGGATATGAATGTGGGAGGACTAAGTTTTATTTATGTACGAAAATTTGAAGATGAACTTGTGAGAATTAGCTTTTGATGCATGACAAATTAGGAAATAGAATAATATAGCGAAAGCTTCCGAGGTCAATAATATTTTGCGTTGATTTGGAGAGTAGATAAACAAATATAGTACTGCCGAGCCTTGGGAAGCCATTAGATGCTGCAAAATGCAATAAATAAGTTGTGTTACAAAGATATATGTTGAATTTATACTGTCTTGGTGAAATATACAAGAAAAATTGTTTCGATTCGATGAGATTACTGGAAGCAAATACTACCATTTGGAGATGATTTGAGTGTGGTTGGACGCCGACAAAGCTTTAAGAAAGAGTTCCTATGAGTTGCCTCTAGATTAAGCCCGAGATCACACAAAAGATGACCATATGGAGAGAATTTTTGAGATTCCAAGCAATCTAAATGCTTGCAATGCGTAGCTATGTCACATGTGACTGTGAGGAAAATATATCTCTTTTGTATAACACAAACTTTAAATAACAATTTTTATCTAGTTTTTGATGATATGTACGCTATAAATTGTTTGTAAGATCAAAAACCCTTGTATTTGCATATGCTATGATCAAATTATCGGGTAATTGATGAAAATGAAAAATGCAGGTTAGAGTTTTTGTATGAGTTTCATAGTTAGAGTAGGAATATAAAAAATTTAAGGTAAGGCATTAGTTTTTTAAATAGTTAAGCTCATAAACAAAACCCTAAAAACCTGATGTGATAGTGCACGGTATTCTGAGAAAATGTTTTGAGGCTTAGTTTGTGGAAGGCATTCTGGGAAAATTATTTTGTTCAGTGAACAGTATGTCTGAACATTGGCGATGATCTGACCACATCATTATTTATTTCGCGTGGCCGGATTGTCATCATTGTCTGGACATGCGAACACCAGACAATAATTTCTCATGTTTGGCGCAAATAATTATGACAGATTGTATACATCACAACTGTCAGCAAGAATCTCAAAGCATTCGAACGACCCAGATGACGACCAGATTACCAAGGCGGACAACCCTACTGCCAACGACGTGGTCAAGAATCGACAGACACACAATGGTGAAAAATTTGAACGACAGACCACGCCGACATTCCCGATAAATCGGGGCGTGATATGTGAAAAGATTGAATGAATTTCCTTATATTTTGCATATCTTTTTGAATGAAATTGTACTTTAAAGAAATATATTTGTATGTTTTTCTTACTGGTGTAACATGTATTAGGAGTGGAACGAAGTGAAAGAAACACGAAGCAAAAATGAGAAGATTTAAAGAAAAAAACAATTTTTGAAGGTTGGGCCAATGACGCCAAGTACTGGGCGCCAGCCAAGTCTGGAACCTGAGAACTTGGTGCTAGGGCTCTAAACACTGGGCGCCATGGTCTCAACCTTGAAGGCCAAGGCCATGGTGTCAGATCAATGTGGTGCCTAAGTGTCATTCCAGTAAAATACAACCTGAGATGTTGGCGCTTGGGCGCCAACCATTAAGCGCCATGGCCCCAGTCCTGAAGGCCAAGGCCATGGAGGCAGAATAGAATGACACAAAGGCTCCAGTACCAAATTCTGGACAGATTTAAGACGGTTCAGAGCAGTTCAACAGCAATTTCAAAGTTGTTTTTAGAGCATTTTGGAAGAAATTTAAGAGGAGAAGAAGGAGAAATATAGAAAAGGAGGCTAGGAGTCGAAGAGGTGTGTGAGAGAGTTTTGGAGCGATTTTTCTTCCTGTGTCTGTTGTATTCTAGGCTTGTTTGAAGCAGGTCTAAGTGTGTGCGTGTGG